CTGACTCTCTGTAAACCGCTTAGAGAGGCCTGAAAGGCCTATGAAGCGGTATATAAGTCTACTGCTATATTGCTGTGACTTCTTTACAATTTATACAGGATTTTTCTTTTTGAAGGCTGGACAGCTTCAAAATGTTGCGTTTTCTTTGCAGCCTAAAGAATCATGTACATATACGTGTGATGGATGGGCATGTATAAATCAAATGAATGAATAAATAAATCTTCAGTTATCCCAGCCTTGAAGACATATGATCTTAATGATGAATCTCGGTTTCTCTGTTGCAGCATGCAGACTATACCTCCCGTGGCAATGAATTGGCTCTTTTCTACAATGGCTTCTGTCCTGTACAATCATGTCATAGTAACATCATGTCATTAACCCATCTAATCTTGCATTTTGTGCAGTGGTGGTATTCAAATTTTTTTATTACTGGTTCGGTGGCTGTGGCTTGGCGGGCGTGGCTTGTCTTGGTGGGCGTGGCTTGTCTTGGCGGGCGTGGCAGGGGAAGGATACTGTAAAATCTCCATTCCCTCCCTACTCCAGGGAAAGGTTTTTGCAAAATCCCCATTCCTTCCTCATCAACTGGGACTCGGGAGGCAGAGACTAAATGGGGGCGGGACCAGTCAGAGGTGGCGTTTCCCGGTTCTCTGAACTACCCAAAATTCCCACTACCGGTTCTCCAGAACTGGTCAGAATCTGCTGAATTCCACCTCTGATTCTATGTTACATGGTGGCTGGCTGGATGCACTTGAGAGGCTCACAAACATGAAATGAAAGTCCCTGTCTATTGTTGATTTCAACAACCAGTGTTGATGGATGGTGGCTGTGATTTAGGATCTGGTAAATAACCTGCAATATTAGTAGTTATTGGTTCTCCATGAACCCCCCTTTTGAACCATCCAAACTGACTGCCATTACCATAACTACCAGTAGTGAATCCACTGGTTTCACTGTGCAATAGACCCTCAGCCAGTCTTCAACCTGTTTGCATCTAGTTTCAGTGGCTGACCTGACATTGTCAGAGAAGGGGGGGAGGGAAACCTACTTCCTCCCCATATTATGCGTATTATGCATGATTTTCTGTCCTGTCTGCTTAACCTCCTTCATTCCAAGCTAAAAACCTAAGTGTTCCTTGAAGAGGAAGCGCTCTAGCCTTCTAAGCATAACCTCTGTAATGCCATTTTTAAAGTGGCATAATCAAAAGTATCCACATTATTCCCAGATACGATTTCACCCTAGAGCCACATGACAGAATTGTTATATTGGTAGTTTTCGAATTAATACTGATTATTGCAGGCATAGAATTAGCCATTTTAGCAACTAAGATTAGGATGGCATTTCACTAAGCACCCCACTATGATGCCCAAATCCCTTTTTTCCCCATCTCCAGCTTAGATCTCATCAGGGAATAAGTGAGGCTTGGAATTTTGGAATCTAAAGGCCTCACTTTAAACTTATTTCATCATTCCTTTTTAAAAAACGAGTCCCTTTTAAAAATATTTCTTCTTACATTGTGTTTCTGAGTGACTTCTTCCTGAAGGTTTATATTTGTAATGGATACCTTATTTCATCACGTTGTTTTATAATATTTGTTAAAATATGAGGTTGAAATAAATGGGAAGAAAAATATAAGTATTTTATAATAAACACATCATTCCTAGACATTTTGTGGACTAGCAAAACACTATGTAATGATCAAAGCTAAGCCTTTGGATATCATCCTTTGAATGTTAATTTGCATCTGTCTTCCATTTGAAATAGCCACTAGGCAAAATTTTACCAGATGCCTAAGTGGATAATTAATGCTGAATATAGAGTTACTGCTTGCACGCTTTGATTCTGGACCCACAACATCTCCAGCAACCAAACTCTGGCATTGTTGGAATTGAACAATTCAACAGTCCTGACTGGAGTATTACTGAAAAGGATCAGTTACTAAAACTCATTTTTTCAATTCAATGGGTTCTTTTTGCCCTGCTTACACTAGTTTTTATTCTGATTTCCTGCTGGAGGGGGGGGGGAGGTAAGTGGGCAGGTGGAACCCGCAGCTAATGATGATTTTAAGTCCATGTCCCTGGTGTTTTGTTCATTGACGGCATTTCACTTTCAAAATGTTTAATGCAACTTGTGTTGCGAGAACTAGTATGGGCAAATGCTGCTGAATTTCAGTAGGTAGTTTGGGGTGTTCTAGAAACCCTTTTTCTTTCAGAAATAAAAGTCTAGTACTTGAAGAATTCCATGTTTGTTTTGATATTTGTCAAATTTACATAATCAGCCGTAATTATTAAAAACAATAAAAATATAAGACAAGAAAATTAAAAAAGGAGTATTAGACATAAGGATGTTAATAATAATGTAGCTACCTTAGTGTTTATAATCTAAATTTCCTCTGGATGCTTACAGTTAAAATTCCCCCCTTTTTGATTGAGTAAGGCAGTGGTTCCCAAACTTGGCAACTTTAAGACTTGTGGACTTCAACTCCCAGAATTCTCCAGCCAGCAGCTGGCTGGAGAATTCTGGGAGTTGA